AATATTTTCGTGAAGGACGAAAGTTCCTGTGAAGCCAGTTGAGCTGGCCACGTGAGCAAAATACACGTCACAGGATGGGTTCTTTCTATACCCTCCTCGGATTTCGGAAACTGGGAGTGATGTAAAAATACCTAAAGAGGGTTTACCTTGTAAATGAGGCCTATATGGGCGATGAACTCTCTCACTCTTAATCTTCTTTTGGTTCTGATCAATTTTTATCACTAACCAACAAACGTCAGCCAGTTTGGGCGTGGTTTAGGGTATTACCATTGTTTACCCTTTTTGTCTTTCGTCAGATGGTCATACAGACAGGGACATTGTGTTGAAATGGAAAAACTCCTCTATTCAAATCGCCAACAAAGAAATGGCACAATTCCTCGTTGGTGAAGCTACTTTGTCCACTAGAGTCAACACGTTCATTACTGGTAAGATTGTTTCCAGTGATATAGCAAGTCAGGCCACGCTTCCATGTGAGCTGCCTTGTCATGAATTGGTGGATGGATAATGCTATCCAGTGGATGAATCGCCATCTGGTGGCCATGGGTAAACATACAACTCTATCCACTGGATCGATTATGATTTATCCATCCTTAAAGCAAGTGGAGCCCGTTCCGGGGGGGTACTAGTACAAAGTTCTATACGGGGAGGCTTCGACCCAAGGTCCAACCCCTTACTCTATTGTGTACCATTTTGACAGAAAGGGAACCCCGTTTCTCATACCTTTAATTAATTAATTAAAAAAGGTACCGCTTTTACATACTTTCATAACTGCCCGAATTGTGAATATGTCGCCAAAAAAGAAAGTCTTCTTGTGACTTTGAGGTAGTGCTTAATGAATTAAACGATGCAGCCATGAGGTGCACCTGCTCGAAATATTTTAATTAAGTGCTTTTTTTAAAGTACCTAAATGAAAGATTTCCTTACCCCTGGAAGTCCCTGCTCTATCTGCAACCTGAAAAAGATACCCCTTTCAGGCGGAGCCTACCTGCAGAGGCCATTATAGGGAGTGCCCCCGGGGAAGCCAGTTCTTGAAATATAAATAGGAATGCAATATTCGGATGAGAACCTTACAAACACAACGGGATCGCTGTAAACATAACGCTTACGGCTCGATCACTTTACGGCAGTCGGCAAATGATAGTTTTCAGAAGCCCATAAGTATAGGCCAGCTTAAATATAGCTAGACTTTGAGGCTGGATCATGACTAGCAATAACAACTGTGGAAAGCAGTGGCAACAAACCGTTTGAAATGCAAAGCTAAATTTGATTGTGCATGCACACATTACTAGTCTTATCAAAGGGGGCCAGTGAAGGTGTATTCCCAAGATGCATGTCCTCTCCGTCACTACCTAACAGGTATTGTTCTAACACGATCTCTTGTGCTTTCCTCAAGGGAACTACACAGTGTTGACGGTGACGTTTCCGTTTAAGAGGCGCATGGGTTATTACATCATCCAGGTGTACATACCCTGCATATTTCTGGTCATGCTCAGTTGGATCGTGTTCTGGATGAGGCCGGATGACAGCGCCAGTAGATTGACCGTGGGCATCACCACTATACTGACCATTGTGTTTTTGCTCGGTTACACAAACGGAATGCTTCCAAAGGTGATTTTATGTTAGCCATGCGTTGTTAACTAGCAGTCTCTCTTTGACGTCATGCGTCATCGTGAAGAGAGCGAGCGGATACCGCGGGAGAGAAAAATGCCCGCGCGGGAACTGGGAGCAACCACAATTCTGCTTCTTGATCGACGTTTTAAGTCACGATAGAAAAAGTGAAACTAGCTCGTAATCAACTTATTTATTTAATTGTCTAAAGTAATGAACGACAGCCAAGTCCTATCAACAAACGATCACATTTTCCCATAGTCTGCACTGTCACGGACCATGAAAAATAACGTCATATAATAAATCAGAGCGGCCAAGATCAGCGTCGAAAAAAAATCACAAATCGCACTTTGCAAAACGATAGATAAAACAACCAGAAGTGTATATAAACAGTGCTCAAAAGCTTTTATTCTACTAAAACAATTAGATTATTCGCTCTCGATTTCTGTGAGTAATAGTTGACTCGGGCTGCGCCCTAAACAACTTTCACGCGATAGAAATCTCGAGCTCATAATTTAATTGTTTAATAGAAACATAATTTTAAAAAAAAATACGCAATGTGATATTGTTATTACTACGGAGTTTTGAAATTGCAAAGTTAAACGACTGTTCACAGTCAGATGGAGTAGCCAAGCTTGCAAAGTAAACTTGATTGTTAACAAAGAAGAAACATGACCGTCTTTGCCGCTTGCTGTGATTGGTGGGTAACTATTATGGTGATGTTTTTGTAATGACATGTCTTTAGGTCAGCTATGTTAAAGGAATGGACTGGTATCTAATGGTGTGCTTCACAATCATTTTCTTGAGTTTGTTGGAATGCATTATCGTGGACAGACTGTGGAGAGCAAACGCCAAGAAAGTAGAAGACGAGAAAAAGAATGGCAACACGAGCAAAAGGAAAAGCAAGGTTAGAAAGATGGAAAATAATCATCATCTAAGGAATGTAATCGACAACTCAGTCAGACGGACAGCTACCAGTTAACCGGTCAACCATCACTCAGTCAGTCAGTCCGTGTCTCCGTGGTCCTTCCGTCTATCAGTCTTTTAGTCAATCCTGTCAGTCATTCAGTCAGTTAGTTCTCGTCGGTCAGTCAGTCAGTCAGTCAGTCAGACAGACAGTTAGTCAGTCAGTCCGTCAGGCCGTCAGTCAGTCAGTCAGTCAATCAGTCAGTTAATCAGTCANTCAGTCAGTCAGTCAGTCAGTCAATCAGCTGTTGTTACTCTTCCTATCTTCCTTCGATATATTTATCTCCTGAACGAATTTTTCTTGCAATTTTTCTTTCATTAGTGCTCGATAAGGAAAACGGATGGGTTAAACTGCAGTTATGTTTCAGAAGTACAAATCTTACCGCCGAAGAAAAAAGAGACTGGCACTCAGACGAACAACAAAGATGCAAATTTGAACAAGTGGGAGACAGAAGAACACGAAGAGATATTTCACATGATAAAAGATGAATACAGGCACTTAAGTCTCGATCATGTGCGCCCACACTTTTCAGGAGGAACCTGGGTCCAGGAAAATAAGGAGCATGCGCATTACGACACAGTTGTTCGGTGCTTCGTCAAAAGAAATTGTTGCCCGATGGAACTTTCGGCAAGGGTGGACAAAGCAAGTCGCATATTGTTTCCTTTGTCATTTCTGCTTTATAACATCGCTTATTGGGTGACTTACTATTATGGTATAACTGTTTTGCCCTACAGAATATGATATCATATAAAAAAGATTGATAACAATAATCGTACGATGTAATTAAAGTCAACATTTAGAGCTTATACCGACAAGCAGTGCGCCCGCTTTGTTGGTTCTTGCCCCTGGGAGACGGGGGTGCGAAGAACTCTTTAGGTAGACTTTCGGAGATACTAGTCATGCCCCTGGGGGGTTCAAAACCGTACCTTCGGTGAGTGTAGCATTGAAGTCTCATTGAGAGCAGTGCCTGCTCTCAGTGTGGGCATGCAATGCAATTCACAAATAAAGGGGACATAGTTGTCAAGAAATAAACAAAGTTTGTACCTCTCAGGGCAAAAACTAAGCTTTAGACATATACACGGAAAAAAATTAGCTTCTTTTTCAGATTTTTTGACCGATCGTGATGGATTGCGCATCCGAAGAAAGTCAAAATTTCTCAAGTTTGTTTGTTTTTTCGACCTTTTTTTTCTATTTGAACTTTGGGCCCAATCTTGCGTGACTTGCAGCTTCCAACAAGTGTTTGGAGACATGCTATGTTGGTCATTCAGTGCGTGAAAATCCAATTATTGCTGTTGTTTAACCTCGCGCTCTAATTAAGGACATTCGCTGTCCACCAATGAGAACAGAGAATAAAATGTATAACAATAATACCAGATAGTGGCAATGTCATTTTATTTAACACTAGAAGAACACTAGGTGGTAATAAAATTGATGACTTTGTCGGCCATTGACAACAGCGCCCTGCTTAGTGCGGAACGCTTTGCCGTTACCCAGTAGCCAATGACAATCAGGGGCTGTGAAAACAACATAGAAACGGCCTACCACATGCAGTGATTCATAGAAAACGTTGTAAACATGTAACCTTCCTTTGTATTATGCCGAAAATTCCCTTGATTAACTGTAATTTCCGGTTTAATGTGTTCTTAGTAAACGACTATAAGAAATTCATCAATTTAAGACAGGTCCTTTGACAAAAGTCCGTTGAGACATAAGTGCAGTCATAAGTCGGTTGTTTTTCTCACAATTTGGAAAGTACAAGACTTACAAAATGTCATGGATAGAGTGTGAATTAAATTTGGAAGCTATTGTTCGAGTCCTAAGACGATGATTATTACCAAGGACTTCATTACTTGAGTATACACCTGCCCAGACATCCAGCTGAGAACTGAACTACAAACCCTCAACACTTCGAGCTTCTAGAAAAATTCGAGGAAAAAACCTCTGTTGTCTAATCAGTGTAGTAAAGAGCTCTTGAGGAACTAATGACCAATCGTTTCATTGGGCATATAGTGCCTAGTTCCGCAATTTTTCCTTTGATTATTACTCCACGATCATAGGTAAGTGAATTTTTTATTGAAAGTTTCCGTTTAGCTAGACGTTGTCTAGTACCTTACGATTCAATAATATTTTTTGGGACGGGAGATATTTTTAAGTTTTGAAAATTCCCCGCATTTGCGAACGAAGTCGTTCGTTTTCGCTATCGAGTTTCGGAATTTGTCAATGTTGTCATGAACTGGTCGCCGTTTAGCGTCCTGCTCAATAGCACTCCAGGTAACTTTTACGATCCATTAAACACTTTGACAGAATATACTTCGTTTTCCGTTCTTAGGAAACCAAAACGTTAACAGAGTAAAAGATGTAGAGTTTATAAAAGATATATAAAGTTAAAAAGTGTTTTCGGTTTCGTAGAAAGCTACTTTTGAACAGTTTATCTTACAAGAATTAAATGATCTTCTTCCAACTCAGTGTGTTTTGAATGCTTAAGAAATGTTTCAAAATAATACATTCCTTCCATTGAAACAGAATCTTCATTGATCAAAAGATGTACTGAGGGATTTTCATAACTTACTAAAATGTTATCTGCGTTTGAAACCGTAGTGCATATATAGGAGGTATTACATAGCAAAGCTAATCTCCAACCATATTTTCAAAGCAAGCCATGAATCTAAATTGCCAGTTATTCCTTCCTGACTTGTTTTTCTCCCAGGAAAATAGTAATAAACGCAAATAAGCTCTCTTAAGAAAATTAAACTGAAGAGTAAAAAGCAGATGTCAGCGTTCATTTTGAGTGAATTCGAAAAATCCAAAGCTAAGCCACTTACTTCTAAAGTGAACTAACTTCGTCCCCAATTCCCATTTCAATTTCAAAGGGAAAGTATTGGGACGATTATATGAGGACTAAAACTCGGAGCCACCTGTTATTTAATTTGAGATACTAATAAAGTGTTTCTGTGGCAATAACGATAACAGGTAAGAATAAAGAGCAGCTTCTCCGTCACCAGCTTGGTAAAGAATGTATTCATCTTTATCAACAACAATTTTGAAAAGGTGTTCCAGATCAGTATTAAAACAAGTGGTTAATTCGAGCCTCTATGGGAAAACTGATACTTTGCCAAACTTTTTACGTGATGAAGCTAAATATGTAAGAGTTGGGTGCATTGTCCAGGACACAGTCACCGACGCATTATTGGGTTAATTTTTAGCAGTAGCCTTTATACTTTAAGTATAGTTATGAACCTCATGTGTTAGCTTACAAGAACTCTTTGATTAAGTTCATGATTGCAGGACACTAACCAGACCCAGCTGCTATGGACTGGTTAATCGTTGTGTTTTATCAAGCGTTGGCTCTAACTGCAGTCAGGTAACTTATTCAACTTCATGTTTTAACCCATTAACGATATTCACGATAAGTGTTTTGTTAACATGGCAACCGGAGATCTATCACCTGTTAAAGTAACCAGCGTTGAAATGTTTTTTGTGTCTATGTGTGTGTATGTGTGTAGCCGGCAACGAAAGTGTTTGGAAATACAATTTTTCCTGCTCCACGGCAACGAATATCAAAGGTTACAGTTAAAATGGTCTGCTATCGAAACAATAAAAAAATTGAGGACCATTGAGGACAATATTTAAAAATAGGAGATGTCGCTATTCTCTCCCAGTTCGTTCTCCCAAAGAAGCCTTGACATAAGAGTTACATGTGATAAGGGATGTAAACAAATGAATCGGCTTAAATTATTTTACTCTATATAACAGAACAATTACGTTCTTAGATTCTAAAACTCTCGTCCCTTCCGCGAGCTCTCGTTCTACTGGCTGATGAAACCAAATTGCAGTTAAGGTGTAACTCTAAAAATATCATTTTCAAAAGTAGCCATGGAATTCGAGTGTAAATTAAACTACTTGCCCTTGTCATAAATTCAATTGCAACGCTAGTGCTGTTTTAACATAATTATTTAGAACTTTTATTTTATCGGCAGTTTTAACATACGATTAACAAAAATTTAGTTATTCATTTCCTCCGTGAAAAAGGCAACACCTGTCGACATACTTTAATTGCTAGTTGAGTAAGTCAATTGCAAGTTAAAGTTGTTCTTAGTATAGCTGATGCCTTCAGGTGAAGTTCCTTGACCGTTCGTTGACTATTCCATTAACTTTAGAGAAATAGACAGAGAGAAAAGAACTAATGGAATGAAGCCATTAAAATTTTATTTTTGTCTACTAATATTACAAGAAGAAATAAGTGGTTGATCACTCCCAATTTACATTTTAATTGTTTCAGGGTCGCTGGAGGAAATCTGTCACCACTACAAACCCTCAAGGATCATTTGAAGAACACCAGTTATGACAAAGGAACACATCCAAACGATGGAGGTTTGATTCTTGGCTGATAATAGTTTTTATTACTCCTTGGAGACTGGCAGTTGGTGGCTAAGAATGTCCAGTAATTGTGCTACCACATATTCCCCAACCAGTTGAAATTGTCACCAGCTGAGACGTAGTCCAAGCGGCCGAAACTTAAGATCTTTACCGTGTGTATCAACTGTTCAAGATGCACTGTGTTGGTTGATGTACACACACACAGGTGGGGGGGTGGGGCGCACACACATGGATGGAGGTAAACACACACAGGTGGAGGGACACACGCCGCGGAGTTTGCGCTCAGGGAAAAACTGAAACGAAAGTAAATCATAGCCTTTTTTTCTTGTTCCTTATTTTGCAGTAAATTACACGTTAATTCGGGTGGATCTTTACGTTGAATCGTTTGGAAGGATAGAAGAAGTCAATATGGTATGATACTTATAAGCTTTATAACTTGGCTTCTCATTTTTCCCCTCAACTACATTCCATGCGTACTTGCTACCCACGCAATGAAAAATCGCAGCAAAAGGACTGGGAAAGGGTAAACATCCTTTCATCACGGTTTGCTTTAATTCCGTGATTGCGAGATAAGAAGCGCCAACTGTTAATGAAGCAATAAGAACCAATTGATATCGACATCGATTCCGCCTCCTAGAATATCCCTTTTAATAAATTACTCATTTATATCTGCATGTAGAAATGATGGGGGGAGAAATGATGGGGAGCAGTCGAACATAGAAACGAGGAAATCATTCAGAAAAAAACAGTAAATTTTCCACATATCCTTAAGCTCGTTTTACCGCGGTTTCTACGAACAGTATTAAAACAGCAACTAACTGCACATGCAACTATTAGTTTTCACTTGCAGAAAAGATCTTGTAAAGCAAGATATCTCTATTGAAAAGGACGCCGTTTTGTCAATATTTCTACTGTGTCAATATGCACATATTCCGCGTGACATATGAAACCTTGTTTAGAATCCCATTAGATCTACACTGAAGTTGCTTCATCTTTTCACTCCTCAGGAGTTAGATGCTTACATGTACTTTCGTCAAGAGTGGAAAGACCCGCGATTAGCAAACGTTGTTAACAAAACAGTAACTTTGGTCAGAGAAGAATCAAACTTGATATGGAGGCCAGATACGTTTTCATATAATTCACGTCAAACAGATTTAGACAAAGAGGACAAAAGCATGCATACATTTTTGAAAGTAAAGCCAACTGGGGACATCTTTTACTCAAGGAAGTAAGTGTGTCACGAAAAATCAGTCATCAGTGTGGAGCTGAGCGAAAATACAAAACAAAAACTTTAGACTTATGGATTCTCTGGGACAAGAACGGTGATAATGGGGTCAAACTCTCATCTCTGTGCAGACTGATATATCTAGAATGTCTTCTTCTTTATATTTCGTTTTAGTGTTAGATTCCGTGAGATATTGTTGTAAAGTTGACATAAAACGAAACCGTAAATGTACATACACCCCTGCTAGATGCAATTAAATTAGAATAATTCTTATCACTTAGCAATTGAGACCTGTTTTGATAAACGCCAACTGCAAGCTTTCAGAAGTCGAAAAAGAGCAAAGAGAGATTGTGAGGAGTGAGAGCAGTTCTTGAAGAGTGTTTTAATTTCGGTTAGGTTGCTGAATTTCTCACAATTTAAGCCA